AACAATGGTTTTATAGAGATCCACTCTCTTTCTTTGTGGCTTGTGTGGGTTTTGGGATTAAAAATACATGTAACACCTCCTGTGATTACCTGCTTGTAGATGCTGGGGGTTGAATCATGGTCTCACATCTGTACTACTCGTGAATGATCACAAGCTGTGACTCGTCCCCTGCAACTACTGATAGGTGAGTACAATTTGTTTCTTGAGATTTATATTTTTTATTTTGAATTGAAATCAGATCTAATATATCGTGCGCTCACCTGGTTGTGGCTAAAGGGGTCGAATCAAGGTCTCTTGAGCAACAGCATTCTATACCAGAGTTTCATGCCTCCGTTCGCATTAAAAATGAGGTGGAATATAGACTGTGCTTACCTAGTTGTGGCTGTGTACGCATATATGGGAGAAGATATACCTTTAGCATACCTATATATGGGAGAGGATAGACCTTTAGCATACTTTTAAATGGGAGAAGATAGACCTTTGGCATTCTTATAAATGGGAGAGGATAGACCTTTAGCATACTTATAAATGGGAGAAGATAGACCTTTGGCATACTTATAAATGGGAGAGGATAGACCTTTAGCATACTTATAAATGGGAGAGGATAGACCTTTAGCATACTTTTAAATTGGAGAAGGTAGACCTTTGGCATACTTATAAATGGGAGAGGATAGACCTTTAGCATACTTATAAATGGGAGAAGATAGACCTTCAGCATACTTATAAATGGGATTGGATAGACCTTTAGTATACTTATATATGGGAGAAGATAGACCTTTAGCATACTTACAAATGGGAGAAGATAGACCCTTAGCATACTTATATATGGGAGAAGATAGACCCTTACCATACTTATATATGGGAGAGGATAGACCTTTAGCATACGTATATATGGGGGAATATAGACCTTTAGCACATATATGGGAGAAGATAGACCTTTAGCATGTATATATATGGGTATAAATAGACTCTTACCTGCATATACGATTGTCGATAGACGGTTGACTTACCTATATATAGGAGTGGTTAGACCTTCCTTAAACCAGAGTACAAGGTAGACAGTGTCACCAGTTAGGACCGACATATTGCAGGGTAGACGGGCAGCTTGACCAGACACTCCCTCGACTTCTTCAACCACGTCTAAAATAACAGAAACCGAAGCATTAGATTTAGAAATGACGGGTTTCAAGCATATCTAAATTAAATAGGTGTAACCAAAAGAAATCAGCCCACCATTTTTTTTAAATTGGGAAATAAATAGATGAATTAGGCACCAAAAAAATATAATTCTATGTTGAAAAGTTTGAAAAGTTGCAAGGGATTAAAAAAACTGCCTCTATATGTTTCTGAAAATGGGAAGGAAACTAGTTTTAATCAAAATAGTTTTGTGTTTCAAACATGGCTGACTAAATAGGGTGAAACTGCCCAATATTAAAAATAAAATTTGGTAAAAAGTTGGTATGGAAGAGTTAAAAATAAATATTATATTTTATATATATTCAAATTAATGTGGGAAAGGAGCCCCACGACGTCTCTGAAACCGGAAAAGAAACACTGGGCGAAACGAGGATAAGTCTAAGTAGTTCGAGACGAAGACAATTCCACCGTTTCGAAAATGGTGAAGAAAAAATAAAATTAAAGAAAAAAACTCTTAAAATTTGTAAAAAATGAGAAAAAAGCAAATTTGACGAGGAAGCTCCGTTTTTCTTGTCAATATTTCTTGTACTGTGGTGACGGTGGATCGAGCCTTCACCAACCCTTCCACCTAATAATCCACACGAGTTTAGAGCTTTACACGGATGGTGATAATAGTAATAATAATAATAATAATAATAATAATAATAATAATAATAATAATAATAATAATAATAATAATAATAATAATAATAATAATAATAACAATAATAATAATAATAATAATAATAATAATAATAATAATAATAATAAATATACTACTACTACTATTAATAATAGTAATAATAATTGTTATAATAATAATAATAATAATAACAAACCATAACAAAAAAACTTTATTAGTAAGTTTTATTTGTAAGGAAATGTTGGCTGGGAGTATTTTATTTTTCTCTAAAAGGACCACAGCATTTTTTTAGTCTCTTCTATTCTCTCTCTCTCTCTCTCTCTCTCTCTGTCTCTCTTTCTTTCATTCCCCTCTGTCTCTTCCTCTCCCTCTATTTCAAGCGGCCCTCCTCCTCCTCCTCCTTTCGTCCAGAAAGTCCACGATTATTGACCCACGATCAATGTTTCTCCACTTGTGATTGCCCACGTTAATTGCCCTCTCATTAAACGTCTGAAAATAAACGCTCCTTAGGTTTTTTATCTCTATATATATATATATATATATATATATATTATATATATTATATATATATATATGGAGGGTTTAACTTTTTCTTGGTAAGACTCGGTTGTAGTGGTGAGGAAGTCAAACTTGCTGCTGTGGTGGTGAGGAAGTCAGACTCGCTGCTGTGGTGGTGAGGAAGTCAAACTTGCTGCTGTGGTGGTGAGGAAGTCAGACTTGCTGCTGTGGTGGGGAGGAATCAAACTTGCTGCTGTGGTGTGGGGGAAGTCAAACTTGCTGCCTGTGGTGGTGAGAGTCAAACTTGCTGCTGTGGTGGTGAGGAAGTCAAACTTGCTGCTGTGGTGGTGAGGAAGTCAAACTTGCTGCTGTGGTGGTGAGGAAGTCAAACTTGCTGTGGTGGTGAGGAAGTCAAACTTGCAGCTGTGGTGGTGAGGAAGTTTAAATTGCTGCTGTGGTGGGGAGGAAGTCAAACTTGCTGCTGTGGTGGTGGGGGAATCAAACTTGCTGCTGTGGTGGTGAGGAAGTCGGACTTGCTGCTGTGGTGGTGAGGAAGTCAAAAATTGCTGCTGTGGTGGTGAGGAAGTCAAACTTGCTGTGTGGTGGTGAGGAAGTCAAACTTGCTGCTGTGGTGGTTGGAAGTCGGGGCTTGCTGCTGTGGTGGTGAGGAAGTCAAACTTGCTGCTGTGGTGGTGAGGAAGTCAAACTTGCTTGCTGTGGTGGTGAGGAAGTCAGCTTGCTGCTGTGGGGGGGAGGAAGTCAAACTTGCTGCTGTGGTGGTGAGGAAGTCAAACTTGCTGCTGTGGTGGTGAGGAAGTCAGACTTGCTGGGTGTGGTGGTGAGGAAGTCAAACTTGCTGCTGTGGTGGTGAGGAAGTTTAACTTGCCCGCTGTGGTGGTGAGGAAGTCAAACTTGCTGCTGTGGTGGTTAGGAAGTCGGACTTGCTGCTGTGGTGGTGAGGAAGTCAAACTTGCTGCTGTGGTGGTGAGGAAGTCAAACTTGCTGCTGTGGTGGTGAGGAAGCAAACTTGCTGCTTTTGGTGGTTAGGAAGTCGGACTTGCTGCTGTGGTGGTGAGGAAGTGAAACTTGCTGCTGTGGTGGTGAGGAAGTCAAACTTGCTGCTGTGGTGGTGAGGAAAATCAGACTTGCTGCTGTGGTGGTGGGGGAAGTCAAACTTGCTGCTGTGGTGGCGAGGAAGTCAAACTTGCTGCTGTGGTGGTGAGGAAGTCAGACTTGCTGCTGTGGTGGTGAGGAAGTTTAAACTTGCTGCTGCGGTTGGGGAGGAAGATAGACTTGCTGCTGTGGTGGTGAGGAAGTCAGACTTGCTGCTGTGGTGGTGAGGAAGTCAAACTTGCTGCTGTGGTGGTGAGGAAGTCAGACTTGCTGCTGTGGTGGTGAGGAAGTCAAACTTGCTGCTGTGGTGGTGAGGAAGTCAGACTTGCTGCTGTAGTGGTGAGGAAGTCAAACTTGCTGCTGCGGTGGTGAGGAAGTCAAACTTGCTGCTGTGGTGGTGAGGAAGTCAGACTTGTGCTGTGGTTGGTGAGGAAGTCAAACTTGCTGCTGTGGTGGTGAGGAAGTCAGACTTGCTGCTGTGGTGGTGAGGAAGTCAAACTTGCTGCTGTGGTGGTGAGGAAGTCAGACTTGCTGCTGTTAGTGGTGAGGAAATCAAACTTGCTGCTGTGGTGGTGAGAAGTCGACTTGCGCTGTGGTGGTGAGGAAGTCAAACTTCCTGCTGTGGTGGTGAGGAAGTCAAAAATTCCTGCTGTGGTGGTGAGGAAGTCAGACTTGCTGCTGTGGTGGTGAGGAAGTCAGACTTGCTGCTGTGGTGGTGAGGAAGTCAAACTTGCTGCTGCAGTGGTGAGGAAGATAGACTTGCTGCTGTGGTGGTGAGGAAGTGGGAAAATTGCTGCTGTGGTGGTGAGGAAGTCAAACTTGGGTGCTGTGGTGGTGAGGAAGTCGGACTTGCTGCTGTGGTGGGGAGGAAGTCAAACTTGCTGCTGTGGTGGTGAGGAAGTCAAACTTGCTGCTGTGGTGGTGAGGAAGTCAACTTGCTGCTGTGGTGGTGAGGAAAGTCAAACTTGCTGCTGTGGTGGTGAGGAAGACAAACTTGCTGCTGTGGTGGTGAGAAGTCCAAACTTGCTGCTGTGGTGGTGAGGAAGTCAGACTTGCTGCTGTGGTGGTGAGGAAGTCAAACTTGCTGCTGTGGTGGTGAGGAAGTCAAACTTGCTGCTGTGGTGGGGGAGGAAATCAAACTTGCTGCTGTGGTGGTTGAGGAAGTCAAACTTGCTGCTGTATGGTGAGGAAGTCAGACTTGCTGCTGTGGTGGTGAGGAAGTCGAAATTGCTGCTGTGGTGGTGAGGGAAATCAAAACTTCCTTTCTGTGGGGTGAGGAAAGTCAAACTTCCTGCTGTGGGGGGTGAGGAAGTCAGACTTGCTGCTGTGGTGGTGAGGAAATCAGACTTGCTGCTGTGGTGGTGAGGAAGTCAACTTGCTGCTGCAGTGGTGAGGAAATAGACTTGCTGCTGTGGTGGTGAGGAAGTGAAACTTGCTGCTGTGGTGGTGAGGAAGTCAAACTTGCTGCTGTGGTGGTGAGGAAGTCGGACTTGCTGCTGTGGTGGTGAGGAAGTCAAACTTGCTGCTGTGGTGGTGAGGAAGTCAAACTTGCTGCTGTGGTGGTGAGGAAGTCAAACTTGCTGCTGTGGTGGTGAGGAAGTCAAACTTGCTGCTGTGGTGGTGGGGGAAGACAAACTTGCTGCTGTGGTGGTGAGGAAGTCAAACTTGCTGCTGTGGTGGTGAGGAAGTCAGACTTGCTGCTGTGGTGGTGAGGAAGGGCAAACTTGCTGCTGTGGGGGTGAGGAAGTTTAAACTTGCTGCTGTGGTGGTGAGGAAGTCAAACTTGCCCGCTGTGGTGGTGAGGAAGTCAAACTTGTGCTGTTTGGGGGTGAAGAAATGAAACTTGCTGCTGTGGTGGTGAGGAAGTCAGACTTGCTGCTTGGTGGTGAGGAAGTGAAACTTGCTTGTGGTGGTGAGGAAGTCAGACTTGCTGCTGTGGTGGTGAGGAAGTCAAACTTGCGCTGTGGGGGTTGGGAAGTCAAACTTTGCTGCGTAGTGGTGAGGGAAGTCAAACTTGCTGCTGTGGTGGTGGGAAATCAAGCTTGCTGCTGTGCGTGAGGAAGTCAGACTTGTGCTGTGGTAGTGAGGGAAGTCAGACTTGCTGCTGTGGTGGTGAGGAAGTCAAAAATTGCTGCTGTGGTGGTGAGGAAGTCAGACTTGTGCTGTGGTAGTGAGGAAGTCAGACTTGCTGCTGTGGTGGTGAGGAAGTCAGACTTGCTGCTGTGGTGATGAGGAAGTCAAACTTGCTGCTGTGGTGGTAAGGAAGTCAAACTTGCTGCTGTGGTGGTGAGGAAGTCAAACTTGCTGCTGTGGTGGTGAGGAAGTCAAACTTGCTGCTGTGGTGGTTAGGAAGTCGGACTTGCTGCTGTGGTGGTGAGGAAGTCAAACTTGCTGCTGTGGTGGTGAGGAAGTCAAACTTGCTGCTGTGGTGGTGAGGAAGTCAAACTTGCTGCTGTGGTGGTTAGGAAGTCGGACTTGCTGCTGTGGTGGTGAGGAAGTCAAACTTGCTGCTGTGGTGGTGAGGAAGTCAAACTTGCTGCTGTGGTGGTGAGGAAGTCAGACTTGCTGCTGTGGTGGTGAGGAAGTCAAACTTGCTGCTGTGGTGGTGAGGAAGTCAAACTTGCTGCTGTGGTGGTGAGGAAGTCAGACTTGCTGCTGTGGTGGTGAGGAAGTCAAACTTGCTGCTGCGGTGGTGAGGAAGATAGACTTG